GAAATAATTGAAATAATTGAACTAATTGAAATCGGCCCCATTTCAATTATTTCAATTATTCAAATCCTGGGGTTCGGCGGCTTCGGCCCACCGAACCACAGGATTTCAATTATTTCAATTATTTGGGCCACCCGAAGAATCGAAATAATTGAAATAATTGAAATCGGCCCCATTTCAATTATTTCAATTATTCAATTCCTGCGGTTCGGCGGCTTCGGCCCACCGAACCACAGGATTTCAATTATTTCAATTATTTCAATTATTTGGGCCACCCGAAGAATCGAAATAATTGAAATAATTGAAATCGGCCCCATTTCATTTGTTTCTTTTTTTTCAATTATTCTCATCCTGGGGTTCTCCACCCCTTCACTCCCTCAGCCCCCCCTCCCCCCCCCAACCACCCCCCCTCTCCAACCACTCCCCCCCCTCCACCTCTCCAACCCCTCCCCCCCCCACCCTTGCCTCCCTCCCCCACTCCCCCCACCCCCCTTCTCTTTTCTACCCCTCTCCCCCTCCACGCCCTGCCCAGGTGCCACGACGAGCCGCTATCGCGCCGTGGGTCTTTTTTTTAGGGTATAGATTATCAGGTTGAATTGTAATGTTCGTTCTTACTAAGACATAATATCTGAAATAGGTTAATGCCAAGGGTTCATGAATGTATATACGGTTTTCTTTTAAGATATCTAGGCAGGGAACTTGGTTTATAAACCAGGTGCTGGTTTATAAACTCTTCGTAGTTTTATATAATAGGACCTCGTCTGCAACAAGCATGTTTTTCAAGGTAACAACGTGTCTGTTCGGGAAAGTTGCCGTCGGTGGCAACGCAATGACAGTCCAGTTACAGAATGTCACAGGTGCTGCTGCTGCTGCCCTCTGAGTCACAAAGTATTAGTACGCAAGTTCTAGAAGTAGTCCGCCTACTACAAACTCATTGGTCCATCTCGGCGAAGCGAGAGAGATTGCAGCGCATTTGAGCAATGCTTCTTGTAGCCAGTAAGTCTCAAGATTCCCAAGATTAGTATAGATTGTTTCTTTGTTGCTCTGCTGCAGCATCCTCCCTCTGAGGTGCGCGGGGCTCTACAAGTCTTTTACTGCGAAGAGATGTCGAAGCCTAGCACAATACTGCTGCGAGTTATGTTACCATGTCCTTGAACCGAAGCTTGGGAGTCATGCTGGCACCAAGCGGAGGTAAGCAACTGCTCAATAAACCGGTGTTTGGCTCAAGAACAAGTCATTAAGTGGTGAAGCACTATTCATCGATCCGACTGCCATAGTCCAGTGCGTACTGCCTTCTTGCATAGACAGCATCGTTCTCAAGCCCGACGCGGTAAAAAGAGAGGACCGAATTTGCCTGCAAAGGGTTGCTGTCATATTCGTTGGAAGCGCAGCCACAATCATATCTACCACACGCTCATCTGGGGGGAGCAAGGTTATACGCAATATCGTGTACCAGACCCTCACGCATTTACCGTCACCCTCTCAACAGCTACAGCAAGTAGGGCGATCTTCTCTCTTTTCGCTGGCATGCAAAGGATTGTTCCTTGTGCTGCAGAGTTGTAATGTCCTCCTGCATACCTTGCAGTGGTGTCGTAGCTTCTCAGTAGAAAGTCACTCAGGTGTAATTGCCATTACCGTTTGATGGCTTGGCTTACAAAGCCTCGACTGAATCTCGAGAGAAAAAACCTTATCCAAGCAATATACTTTTCGCGACTTGCATGTATGTCTTTGAATGTCATGTCAACCAAGGTATCTGGCTGCACCGAGTTGGGTCTGGGCTGGCACTATCAGGGTTTAGGGTGGAGGATTACAACTTAGGTATAGACGTTGTTCTGGGTTGGTGCGCAAAGTAGTAAGACATAGGTTTTAGGGGGGGTTGCATATATATATATGTATATATATATATACGTGTGTGTGTGTGTTACAATACTGAACAACAAGTCCACAAACGATAATACAGAATATATGCAATAGTTGATAGAAGGATTTTTACAGAGTACATACCCCATAATCTAAACGTAAATTATAGCATGTTTATATATAGTATGTAGCGAGTAGTTAATTCATAGCACGCAGCCTGAAACTGCAATATGCAACATATGGCATAATGTAATATTATAGATGTGTAATACATTCTAACATATAATATAGTGTGTACGCCACATAGCACATAGTGTATACTTTCCTGTGTACAGTATAAAGTATAGTATACCCCAGATAGTACATATCACTAAGATTGCAGTACATAACATACATACGGTATACATGATACAGCTTAAGCCTAAAGGAATATAGGATATCATAAATTATAAGTTATATAATCTACTGGAATGAACCTTTTCCCTGGCGCCTGGTGTTTCGTGCGAAGGAAGAGCTTGGAGGAGCTGAATGACTTCTTTCGCATCGCAAACGACTCTCGCATGTGCAATGAGATCTGGTATGAAAGTTACACATTAAGGGATCTGTAAGGATCTACAGCGATTCTACAAGGTTCTGCCTAGGTTAATGGCAAGTTGGAGGGGTGTAGGCTTTCCAGTTCGAGCCACTAGATCCGGGAGGCTCTTACTTGTTCTTCACGGGCGCGCCTTGCTTTTCAGGAAGCTGGCGGAGCGAAGCCTCAGGACGTCTCTTGGCTGCATGTCTTGGGGCTGCTAGACTGGCGTGTCAAACTTGAGGGAAGCTGCCCCGACCCCCTCCTTCTGCCCCAAGCCCAAATTGACGGACACTAAGCTGTCGAAGTTGCTGGACTCGTCCATCGGATGCCTTGTTGAAGCCAGAGTTGCTCTGGAATGCAGCAGACTCGTCGAGAATCTACTAACACATTCCTTTTGCTGGATCTAGATGGAGGCATAGTTGCCAATGCATCAATCACTGTACGCGTCAATAGGTGACGTTTGCAAGACGTGGCGTGGAGCAAGGACTGAATACAACTTAAACATCCCACACCGCAGGTGGAGTACCTGCCACCGTTGCCGTTGACCAAGCAGGAGCTGGACTCCTCAGAGTACTGGAAGGCTGCCACCTGGCTTCGCTCCACTGCCACCAGTTGAATTGTCGGGCTTTAAACATTGTTTTTGGTGGAAGTGGTAGAGCAACGAGCATGAAGCCCTTCATGGCAAGACACTTAAGCTCACTTGAAGCAACGCATGCTGAAAGACCAGCGTCATTTCCATGCGTCCAACGCCGAGGAACGGGTTGCCTTCGATGAGGCAAACGACCCGGTGCGCATCTTTCAAGAGCGGCAGCTCTTCCGAGATAAGTGGCCGTAATCAGGGATAGGCTGTCGACAGCAACTATGAAGGGATGCAGCTTTCTGGAGTGCCTTGTTTGGACTTTGCACCCTTTCAAGGAAATGGTGCCTGGGCTGGAGCTTGCAAAGCTTGGATATCCAAGGAACGCATTCGGATCTCGGGACCTGCGCCAGAGCCTGAAGCGCTTCCCTGGAGCAACGCTGCTGCTCCGATGATCTCAGATGAACGCGTGTTCATTTGTCCGACGTTTGTTCCGGACGTAGTTTTTGTTGATGGCATTTTGCGGTCATTTGTGGACCTCTGCCGTCTCTTGCAACAATCATTAGGCCAGTTGGCTCGAATTCGTGCAGGCTTAGATGGCCGATAGGTTTCTTAAGGTGCGACCACAAAGCACGACATCCTGTGACGGTGTCATCGTTCCGTGCTCTGCATGCCTGATGATGCATTGTACGCTAGCCTTTGGCTCTAGAGACGAAATGTCATACTATCATCAATATCTCAACTCGGCGCTGTTGCACGTGGTATGACCCTGACACTCTCCTAAAGCGACGATACCAAACATACGGCAAAAACACATGGCTGAGACTCGATTTGATGCAAACCTCCCACGCCCCGCAGCATTCGCAACGTGCACCAGCCATGATCCGGCAGAGGCGTTCCATTTTGAGCCAGCTCCTCAGTCAGACTTGCTGGTAGGCTGCTGGAACTACAATCGGAGCACTCGTGAAGTGCTCCGAATACATTTCTGTTGGATCTCGATACGTGGGTAGTTAATTGAATTAGGATCTCTTTTGATTCCGCAAACAGCACGGAACTTACTTTGGAGAACCCCGATGTGTTTACAGCACTTTGCAGCTGCTGCCAAACCTTCCTTCCGCCCAGTGGACCCTGGATTTTTCTTGTTTTTGGGACCCGCCGCGTGCATGTAGCATGTAACCACCCAGCATCAATTAAGCGACAGGAAGAAGAAGGTGAGGGAGGGCTTGCAGTCGTGTTGTTTTTGAGCGACACCCCACATAACAGGGTTTCTCACGTCTGTGCGGAGTGTTGCAAGCCCTCATTTAGTCTCGTCTACCCACCCGCCCTTGTAGCGGTGCACCCCGGCGTCGGTGCAAAGACCACAATCTCTGGCACTGCCAACGGCCTGCGTATGCCTGCGTGAGGTGCTCTCATTTTTGTTCCATTTGCCTCTGTCGCCTGGCATGCCTGGAGCTTCACAGGCCGATGTATCGTCAGACGCAAACCTAAAGTTTTGGTGGCAGACCGGGCCAAACCAAGATCCTGCAGAGGGTTGCCCTGAAAGGAGCGTGGTCATCTTACCGAGGAGGCCTCCTGCAGCTTTGTGAATGACCACATGTCATTATGTCTGTAGGCCTTGTGTAGTTGGCGTGCTCATTACCGGATCATTACCGAGTGTGCTGTAGCTGCCCCTGCATGCAGGCGCCGGCACCACCGGCAAGCCCTTGACGGCTCGTGCAAGCCAAGAAGATCCATACACTGCCTGGGTCCCATGTGTGCCAACAGTAGAGGCAGTGCATGTAGTTACATCCTAACCATGCATAGCTATCATGAACGTCAGCTCGCATGTCGGAGCACAGGATCATGGAACATGAGATACACAGCCTGACAGCATGGAGGTTTTGGGACTTCCCCCTGGCACCGTCGACGAAGACGCAGTTCGAACGGCCTTCCGCCGTCTTGCAAAGGCAACGTTGAACACAGCTAATAATGCTAATAAAGCAATGCCTGCAAGATTCTTGGGCGACCGACTGATGAGTTTTTGGAATGTGGGTGTCTGTCTTTATGTGTGTATGTTTACAAAGACAGATGAGTATCCATAGAGGCCGGAACAATTGGCAAGACTGTCTCCTTATGGTAGGACCATAACGCTTTATGTAGCTATAGCAAAACTAAGTCGCCAAAACCCTATTCGAGTTGAGGCCCTTATATCAAAAAAAGCAGTGAGGTTTCGATTGAGCACGTGCCTGCATTGTTTCGCTTTAAAAAGAAGTCTGGTAGAGTGCCGTGACTTTTTTCGTTGTGAAATTCTCCTTGTCTTTCGTACCTTGACTGACGAAGCCGTGTTGACCTCCGTATGTAAAAAAGCCCTGCTAGCAGTGCATTGTATAGAGCCATTTCTGCACTAGCTCATGTCGCAAGCTTCTCACATGCACATACTGCAGACGTGTTGAGTTCAAGCGGCAAAATAGGCTACTTCCTCGTGTGTCGCAACTCCGGAAGCCGACATTCGTCCCAAAGGGTTCTGGTCTCATGTCAGCTGCGCAGGTTTACCATCCTGATGTGCCGCAGACAGGGGACATCATGAAATTCCAGGAGTGTCAGCCGTTGTGCCAATCTGGATATTGCTGAAAGACATGTGATGCGTTGGATCCAGGAGATACAGACAGCGGCGCAGCAGCTCATAACAGGACGCTGCAAGCTGCCGAAGCTGTGGTTGCGACACTGTCATTCGGGATGCGATAGTTTGGAAAAGCGTCGACCGGCGCGCAAAGCTGAGACTTACATGCCGCCTTTCATGAGCGGTCGCCGCGAGTGCTGAATCTGCTGATCTTTAGCCTGGAGTCCTAACCGCTCTCACCGGGTCTGAAGAAATGCTGAAGCTAGGAATCAGAGACACACGGGGCAAGTTCAACCGGCCCACAACTTCCACTGAAGACGTGATAGATGCGATCAGGCCCATAGCCCCCCCCCCCCTGCTGTTGTTGTCCATCCGCATCTCTGAAATCGGAGCTCCCAAGAGCTCCGAAGTCCTTTGAGGACGCGCTCCGGGTGCTGCCTGGGATGCCAGTTCGTTGGAGCCGCCTGGGCAGAAAAAGCTTTTTCCTGAAGCTTGGAAGACTTTGGCTTGGGCTTCTTTTGTGTTTTCTTGAGGGCTCCGGGTTGAGCCAGGGAGAAGTTTAAGTTGGAGGGCGACCAGCAGGGAGTGTTATCAACCGTTCAGTGTCAAACTGTGAGTTTCTCAACATTTGGGGGGAGGGGTGTGTGTGTGTGCGCACGTGTGTGCACATGTGTGCCCCTGTTGCCGGTGGTGTGAAAAAACGACGCGCCCAGGAATCTCTTCACGGGAAGCTCCACTCACATCTACTCGTCAGCTGCGCAGAGGCCCTTGGCGATGTGGCAAGACTTTCCGTCACTGACTCCGGCAAGAGGTACCTCTTCTTATTTGCACAGGCCGCCGTCCACAGCGCATCAGCCGCTGCAGCAAGCTGACTTCGCAAGTACCCGGAATGGGAGAGTGGACGCCGTCTCAGCACATCTTAGCATAATCTACCAGTAGAAGCGGCCGCTTGCAGTATCATGCCACCACAGTCTTAGCAATTTCGGTGCTCTTGAGTCATGCGAGACCGGAGATGACCGAAGGATATCGCCTACTGCGCTAGCATGCGCGACTCAAGCTTGCGCAAGACCGCGCGGCTCGACAGGCCTCCCCCCCCACTTTTGAGTCCGACTGGGAAAACGGAGGAAGCAATTGGAAGAGGAGGGTGGGGTAGTTCAGGGCCTACAGGTCAAGAGGAGGAGAGGCAAACAACAAGCGTCGGCGCAGCACTGCTAGTGTGGCGTTGCACTTCAGAGGATCACCCTCCAAGCGTCACCGGAGACGCTGTCTAGAGTGCCTCAGCTTTATCAAGAGGTCAATGTACTACAAAGCAAAGCTGAAGGAGTGCCCGTGGCCTTGGAGGTTCAGCGGGTGCTGACTGAGATGTCGGGCACCACAGCCGAGCCATCGATGCCACTTCCCATGGTTGGCTTCATTCTGGAAGGGCACACCCACAGCATCGGTTCCCTGGCTGCCCACCGGAATGAACACCAATCGGATGCCCCTTTATGGCCTGCGCAGTGTAACGCCTGCAGTGAAGGTGAACAACAGGTCGCCAACATTGCGATGGCACTGGAGAAGGACATTGGGATTCCAGAGTAGCCCTCATGCAGGGTTTCAGCAACTTCAAGACGGTTTTTCGTGGAGGAGTTCGGCATCGAACTCCTGACCATCCTCGCCGGCACGTGGATCAATTTCCCCATGCCGGTTGAACTCCAGACAGTGAAGGAGCTGGCGGTGTTTTGTCGACTGGCAGCTGGCCTTTCCAGCTTTGGGTCATCTGTCTTCTTTCCGCCATCATGGGATCGTAGGACTTGGCCGACTTTATCGCAACTTGCCTGCACTTGACCTTTGCATGGCAACCGGATCGCAAGCGAAGCCTGGCCCAGGAGAGCAAACTGGCAGCCTGAGGGATGCAGCCATCACTTTGGAGTACAGTGCTGCGGACTCTGGACCCTGAGTACAGGCAGCTTCTTTAACCCAATCTTGCCCGGACGTGACTGGCATTTTTGGTTCCCTTGAGGATGCCGAGACCTGCGAGTTTAGCATGCACGCAAAAGTGCAGGGCAGGGGTGTTTCGTCGGCCCCCCTGATCGAATTTTCAAAGTAACTAAGTTGCAGCAGTGGGAAATCTACGACGCGATGAAAACCGCTGCATGTTGTGGGACACTGCTGGCTTCAGCGTAGCCCGAATTAGTTAGCAAACATGTTTGTTCGTCAAACATCAGTCCTGCGAGGACGCGATCACTGAGCCAGTCAGATAGTTTCTAGGATATGTGCAGGTTCAGCAAGAAGGTCACAGCATCAAGATCGCGTATGAGACCGGTAAAGTCTCCTTAGACTCTAGACCCTTTCAGCATGGCCGGCAAGGCAGCGCCAGAGTTCCTGTCTCTCTTGGTGGGGATTTCCCGGGAATGAGCGAAGAGTCCGAGTCCTCCGAGTCCTCCGAGTCCTCCAGCTCCGACAGCGACGGGACCCGAAGCGAGGAAGGCGAGGAAGGCGAAGCCGCCGAGGCGCCGGGCTCCGATGACGCGCCTGAGCCCGCAGATCCCAAGGCTGTGGTTCTGGAAACGGAGGAGGGAGATGATCTCTATCCAGAGTATCCAGACGATGAGTCAGAAGGAGGGGAAGCGATTCGGACCAGAACAGCCATCATGAAGGAAAGAGCCGCCAAGAAGGCGGCATCCACGATGTCTCTGACTCGCGGCTGGACCAGACGAACTTCGGGGGCAGAGAGCCCCCGGTCCCCGAGGTCGCCAGGGCGTGACTGGGCAGATAGCGGCGACAGCTTCTCTCCCAAGCGAAGCGACAAAGAGCCCAGTGATGCAGGCGATTTTCCCGGCGGCGACCCCAGCCCTCCCCGGGGAAAGTTCCGCCTCTGTGGCTGTGGAGTCCTTTCGCGGTTCCGGGCCTGCTGGAGACAGCGCTGCGGAGCCTGCTCAAGGCGAGTCGCACGCTGCTGCAGGCCCTGTGTCCGATTCTTCAGACTTTTGTCCTGGCTTTGGTCTGGCTTTGAGTCCAGATGCAAGCCCGTGGCTTGTGCCATCCGTTGCCTTTGCTGTCCCCTCGTCCTTTTGCTGGCAATTTCCCGCTGTTGCCTTGCAAGCTCAGATTCAGACGAACCAACATCAACTTCGCGCTCAAAGCCGGTGAGGAAGAAGAGCGCACGCTCGATGTCCCGGGGCTTCTCCCGAAGCGGCAGTATGGCAGCAGGCCGCACGTCGTCAATGAGCAGGAGTGGCACCTCCATCCGCTTCTCCCAAGGCCCCAGCCACCAGCCCAAGAGCACCATCAAAGCGACGCATCCTCGCCTGCCTCAAGCAGAGCAGGTTCAGAAGAAGGCCTCTGCGAGGGAGAGGTTTCGGGAACTGCGCCGGGAAATGACCTCTGATGCTGCGGAGCCTGCGGAGCTGGAAATGCCACAGCATGGTACCGGTACCCTGCAGCGGGGCCAGAGCGGCTTGCGGGCTTCGAAGTCCTTCATGGCCAAAGCCCTTGCCCGCGGAGACAGCAGCTTCTCCGAGCCTCCTGAGTCCACCGGTCTCGCGGCCCTGGATTGGACGGCCTGGTTGCCCTGGAACTGGGATGCTGGGCCCTGTTTAAATCTCTAATGATCCTAATACCATGTAAAGAAGACGCCATGTGTGCATGGACGTATGTATGTATGTATGTATGTATGTATGTATGCATGCATGTATGTATGTATGCAGCAACACTGCGACTTTCGCGTTCCCTTCTCGTCCTTAACCCCGACACAAGCTCCTAAATCCTGCGAATCTCACAGCATTTGCTTTGTGCGAGTTGCTCGGCTCGAGGCAGTAATCCGGACCGTGTTTGTTGGAAACCTGATGATGCATGTGCCAACGCTTTAACTCAGGGCTCCACCTACGAGGTTTGGAAGGAATCTCGCATTGAGATGTGGGCGAATCTTGACAAGATTCTGGATGAAATGGACAAGGAAGACCAGAGCAAAGTGACCGATGTTATGCGATCACCGCTTCAGAGAAAGTATGTCCGCGCCTGGCGCATTTTTATTTTTGCCTATTGGGATCCTTTCTTGGACCTCCTTCCTACTTGGAAGACGGCGGTTGCCATCTTGATAAGCTCGCTGATGATAATTCCAATCTCCGGCTTCGTTGTAGCATCTGTCCTGCTGGTGTCCAGTCTTCTACGCAACATGGAGTATGTTGAAGGTGACTGTCAGATAGAGGCGCTGCCGGATGCATTCGTAACCAAGAAGGGCGTGGTGACGGAAGTTACGGGGACCTACCTCATCAGGCGTTTCTACGATGCCTCTGCCGAGCGAACCGAGGGCTTCGTGCTGCAACCTTGCCACATTAGCGTGCCTTGTGAGCACGAAGACATTGCTCTCACAGGCTTTCTTGAGAGGGAGAAATGTGACAAGTTTCGAATTTGGGCCTGGAGAGATCCCGTGACTTGCTATTATCATCAGGACGACGAGTATGGTAGTGCCGGTCGGGACCTCCTTTGTCTCTCTCGGCCTAGTGACCTTCAAGAAGAGATCTTTGGAGTGGTGATTGCCGGTGCGGCAGTGCTCGTGGCGATTCTGATCGTCATTGTGGTGCTGATTCGAAGGGCGCTAGACAGACGGGAAGCACAGAAGTTCCAAGAAGAATGGGAGCGCCAGTTGGAGAAGCAGAGGGCAGAAGCGGAGGAGCGCGAGAAGGAGGAGGAAGCTCGGAGACAAAAAGAGGAAAACCAACGGCAAGCAGATGCACACGAAGAAATGGAGGACATCGACGATAAAGATTGGGGACCCGACAAATCCAAGTCCCTATCCAAGCAGAATACGAGGCTGACGCTGACGATGTTGCATCAGGCGACCCAGTCGGAGTCTTTTTCTGTCAGCTTGGCACCATCAGAGTCTGTCTTACAGTCTGGTCGAACTCGATTCGTTTCTGCACCTCCGGTATAACGGAGGACTGATCCTCTCGAGCTTGTAGCTAGTTGAATTTATGTCTGGCTTCTGCTGCCAGCCGCCATCGCGACTGCATTGCATTACCTTGATTTGATGCACGGCTATGCTGAGAGCTGAAGATGGGGAAAGGCCATCACAAGCAAGAGGAGCTTCTTGCGAAAATGTTTAAGTGCGGCTGCCGTGCTGTCGCCGCAGCCCGCGGTGTGGACTATGGCCAGCACCTTCTCGGTGGGTTGGGTTATCTTAGGTCCCTTTTGGCTCTGCATGGTCGTCTGGCCTTAAGATGCTGGCGCCGAGAGGCTGTGTTCGAGCCTTCTCCCGTATTGCAGGCCCTTCTTGCACTTCACAGGCCAAGCCTCTCGCAGTGGGTGGAGGGCGATCTGCACAACAACCTGTCACTGCCGTTGCTTGACAGCCAAGCTCAAGCTTCTGTGGTGCAAGCGTCCGACCTTCAGGAATGTCAGATAGCCGATGAATGGTGTCATGTGCCAAGCGCAGCACATGTTCGACCTCAGTGCAGGCACACTTCTGTGAAGGTCTGAAAAAGGAAATGCAAGATTGCCCTTGTACTGCAGAGTGCTTTTGAGAAGCGACGACGCCTTTTGTTCAAACTGCGAGTGCCTCTTCTGTGCGGCTTCTCGGCCCGAGCTTAAGAGGAAGTGGGTGTCTCTAAGTAGAACTCATGCAGGGAGGCTGCTGAGCCGACCCACCACCCCTTGGGGTGTGGAGCCACGGAGCGGCTCGCCTGCAGCAACATTGAGCCATGCTGTTTGAAAAATTTGCTTCATGTTCAGATGACAGGCCGGGCCTCTCCAGGTGACAAAACGTCCCTGCCTCAGACACTCGGACTGAAAGCCTCTTGAGTTGACCTCTTCATCTTCGCAGGTTGTCTGGGAGGCCATGGCGGTTGCCGTTCCAAGTCTCCCGGCTCCCACCGCTGCGGGCAAGCCGGACCGGGGGCCCTAAGAAGGTGCAATCCTAAACCCATCCTTAAGCCTACAAGGCCTGCCGACTTACAGATGAAGCTCTCCCAGCGCATTAAAATTGTGGAGGGGGCCCAGGCATTTTCTGTTGTCCCGGCTGCTCCAGGCCAGTTTTGCTCAGTCAGATACCATGAGTACACTGAAGCCGTTCGAAATCCAATGCCACAGCGCCTCCCGTTACCACCAGTACGGTTGTCTCGTGGAAACTCGTCGGGCTTGGCAGCCGAGGGGATGTTGTGGGGCAACTTTCGACTGTGGGGCTTCGCCGAGAACGTGCGCAGACGCAGCAAAAGAAAAATAGAAAGAGACACACGCTGCAGAGGTATCTGCTCGGGAGTCAGCTAGGACCAGCTAGGATTCATGTTGAACTTCCCGATTGACTTTGCAGCACTGGTCCTCCCAACCGAATCTTTTGCCGATCCGCATCAGTCGCAATGGGTCCTGGGTCGCGCATTCTCTTGGAACTAGGCGCGGTGCATGTGAGCCCGACTGCAGTCGATCAGCAGCGGATTCGCGGGGATCGGCTGCGACATTGCTCGGGAGAGGGTGACGCACATATACGCACCTTGGTGATTTTGTCCATGTTCCTGGATCCGCCAGTACTTGGGGGAGAGCATTTTGGCCAGAAGCCCACTATGTGGTCCGTGGTACAGAATCCGTCAACACTTGGGGGAAAGACTTTTGGTGGTCTCCCGGTGGTTTCTGGCTCTGCAGTTTTGTTGTGGGTCTCCTGCGACTCTCTGACGTAGTCTCCTCGTGGTCGTGGCAACTTTGACGGTCATCGTTAACCTGACTGGAGCTGCGCCGGTCGTCTCGTAATTCTGTGGGCATGTATTGGTTTGTGTCGTGTGGGACATACGTACAGGCTTGAGAGCTCAGTGTAATCGGTACAATAGCACCAACACGTCCCGTGGACTGTGGTCTTCGTGCGGAGCGAGTGGGAACAGACAGGAAAATAAACCGATGCCAGCTCACCTTCTCCCATCTTCCAATCGTGAGCTATCTTAAACAAAAGCGGAACCTGAATGTTATCCGGGGCTTGCTGCAGGACTTCCACACACTAGCCGCTGCCCCAGCTTGTGTGCACTTTCTGCCATCTTCCCTGCAATGGCTGCCTTGTATCTACTGAATCTATTATGTTTTGGTGAGTTGGGCTCTGTTGCCGAAGTATTCTGAGGGCTTGCATGAGCCAGGTTTTATCCTGCAACCGCGATGGCATGGAAGCGTTGCGAAAAGGACAGTCCAAAGCTGTGCATCCCCCAGATTTGGGTGGGAAGATGGGAAGATGTGCTGGATTTTGATCCGGTGCACCGAGCAGTGGCGGGCTTGGTTCAGGCGTTCGAGCAGTTCAAGTACGCGGAAGCCGTTCTTATAGCAAACCAGGCCGAAAGATTTGGCCTCAGAGCTGTTCAGTCACGGCAGACCGTTTAAGTATGGCAGAAGGCTGTCTACTGTCTGGCATTTGGCACCAGTTTCACAACCCGTGGCATTTCCAGCATTGGCGAGTTCAGGGTCACCTGCCCCTGGCGCCGAGGTGGCACGAGCCTAGCAGCTGCCGGATCCTCATCTATCTCACCTTGTTAAACCGGCTTTGCCGGAAAGATCGTATTGTGCTGCGAGCCAGTGTCAGGTGACCTGCAACAACCTGGGATGCTACTACAAGAAGGCTGCTGGCTCTGTTGTCAGATAGGGTGCTTGGGACGTCGCGGTTAATCTGCGGCATGGCAGAAGCGCACTTCCTATTCTCATGCAACGACGAGAAATCTTGACATGAGTCACCTTCGCAACATGTGTCAATATCAAAACTCAAGAACGGAGTATCGTTCCAGAACTTGGAGGTTGGAAAGCTGCATGGTGCTTTGAGCTATCTTCGAAGAGCCCTGCAGATGGAGGCCCGTTACTTGCAGAGCTTTCTCCTTGTCCGTTTTCCTGAAAAGTACGGTAGATGGCTGTACCTAATTACGGCATACTTTCTGCTGGTTTGCAGGTGGACTTGGGCACTGATGAAGTCACGCTCGCAGGCTTGACAGCAAGGGTTCGTGTGTGGTTTTTGTACCGCACTGTTCCGGTGGAATTGACGAAATAAAAGATGTCGAGCCTAATGCAACGAGCATGCACGGCATGAGACGATGTGCCTACAGCAAGGACCATGGACGGTAACGCAGGGTACGTTCCTTGTGCAGGAACTCACCTGAACATCTGCGCGATCCTCTCCAAGTTAGAGAAGCATGACAAGGCCAGTCTTTACCCTAAACCCTAAACCCTAAACCCTAAGCCAACCCTAAGCCCTAAACGGCTGTTTTTGTCGCATGATCGGTGGGACCCAGAGAGGCGGTTCAGCATGCTCTACAAGCCTTGGAGCTGATCGATCGGTGTGCCCAGCTTTGTGGGGACGCCGGGCATTCTCCTAGCGTTTGGGACGCGCAATTTGTGAAAGAGTTTGCTTGTCCCTAAAACTTGAGACGTCGTAACGTTTCGCTCGTGAGGATTTGACAGCGATGCTTTGTAAAAGCTGCGACATTCGCTGCCAGGAAGACGAGCACCGCAGATCCTGCGGATGTGTCAGCAGACGATCTCTCAGACTTTGAACGGCTTGCTGGGGTGTTTGCTAGTCACACCATGAGTTCTGAGGACGATTTCTCAGTTCTCGCCATAGCGTGACCCCTGTTTTCAGGGGCTCCTGTTTCCACTTCAACAGTGGCCAGCGTACTGTTTCGTGAACGGGCCTAAACGGCAGGATGCCGTTGAGGCACCGGAGCCTGCGTTTGGAGGTACCACAACGTGGCTGTTGAGCGTGATTTGCTGCAGCAATACGACAAGGCGGCAGCCTTGTAGCGCACGACCTTACCCGAATCTACACAACTTCCCTCTTAAAGGCAGCGGCGGCCTTCTTCCAGGGCTTTCAGGCGCAGTGCCTTTCTCGTTTTGTTTTAAGGGTCCTCTCAGCTCCTCCTTGCAGGTGGCCAAGCGTTGCCTCGGCGAGGCCGAGCTGGATCCGTTGCCGGATGAGCTGGTCCGTTTTACCACAAACTTAGTCGTGAGTCACAGGTGTAATTCTCGATCTTCTGGTGTTTGTGCCAGCGAACGGCATGAAGAGTGGGGGATTGCCGAGTCCAGCTTGCCAGAGCATTTCGTGCAGAGGCCGGGCTCAATGAAACCACTTGAGACAGGACCATCCGCTCGCCGTGACGCTGGGCAAGAACGCGGAAGCAGTGCTCCTCAAATCCCAGAGGCCTGGGTTGGTTGGCCTGCGCTTGGATGGCAGTTTCAGGCACAAGCTCGCCAAAGCAGATCCTGAAGAGTAGGAGCCACCAACATTAAGGACCCCTGAGAAAGGGTATGAACAAATCAACAGATCCGTACCGGGTCAGGATGACCAAAGTTAGCTCTGCCACAGCTACCGCGCGGAAGCCTGTGAAGGACACGGGGTTGTGGACTTAGAATTGAGGGCTTTCGATTTTCAGGCTACATGTAGCATTCACGATAGCAAGTTTCGGCCTTAAGAAGGCTTCGCATCACATGGCCAGAGCATGCTATCTTCGCAACTGGTGCTTCATCGGTTTCGTTTGCAGCTCTTGGCAAGTTCATGGTATTTGCGGAGACTTGTACAAATGAGACAATGGGTTGGACCAATGCAGCATCGGGACATGGTTTAGGGAATCAGTCCTGCAACAAGTGGGGTGATGCTAGCGCTGTGCAGATTACAGATTGTGTTGGATGTATGTGGACGAAACCCGGTTTTCTTGTTTGAAATTCGTTCCTTTTGCCTACCACCCACCAGAAAGACTCGTGCGGTGGGATGCAGGCTCTGATGCTTTCAGGTTGAGACGAGCATCAAGACAGACGGATGCGGGCTGGCCCGGCGCCATAAACGCCCCGAATCGACTGGCCAGTTGAGCGAACGCCTTTGCCGTGCTTTGGTACCCTGTCGTGTGAGCTAAGCCGCTAAGCATTAAACCAAGCAGCACGATTCCAGGCAGGGTTGTTTCGTGAGATTTGAATTCGTGGTTTTGACAGTGCTCGAAGTGGAAGTGCCGCCGATCATCTTGAAACGTATTTTCCTGAATGAGTCGAGCTGCTTCTTGAGAACAGTGGTGAATGGTCAGTGTGTCCACTGCATGGTCGACACATAGTCACGTAGTGCCGTGCAGATGAGCCAGCTTCCACAAACGAACGTCGGCAGGATGATGCCGAATACAGTCGCCGTCGTTTTCTGTCAGTGTTACCGCCCGCATTCGAGTACCAACGGGGCGAGTGGGGCAGGATGCAGATCTGGAGCGCTTTACAGCAGGGATGACCGACAGCCCGTCGCTGCTGAGACCCCAGTGAGTCTGGGGTGCTGTTCGACCTCTCACTCTGGGGTGCATGGGGTTACTTGGGAGCTCATTGGCAGCAGACGATGCTGATGGCGTTAGCGTGCGCAAGTGCAAATTGCACGTTCTGACTTCTGCTTTTTCTGTTCTCCACAAGCATTGGAGGCAACAGCATGGCACTGACCTCTGCCTGCAATGCCTACAGTTCTGCTACAGTCTTGCTTGCGCTCCAGCATCGGGCCACTCAGCCTCTGTACTGAGGCCAGCCGTGCCGTCGGCCAAACCCGAGGCAGAAATCGAGGAGGCACTTGAAGACTTGCATGTGAAGATACGAGAGAGGACAGGCTTCAGCGACATTCGTTTTTGTGGGAGTGCCTGTGTTTCTTTCCAAGTTTCGAGCTTGTCGAAGGATCTCCCGCAATCGATAGAAGACATGTCGACCAGTCGATTCCAAATGGCCAGGATCCTTCGATGACGCAGCGCACCATTCGACAAGATGCCGCAGAGTGGGTGCGAAGCGAGGCCAGGTTTCCAAACCGTGTTTGCCGCATCTTGTTGCATCTCAGATCTTGAACACGGGTCCCTTGCAACGTGGCCAGACAACGGCACGGACACTCCAGAGGTAGAAGAGAGAGGAATGTGGGGCGGCAGCTGAAGACCGACTCTGGACGGGTTCAGTCTAGCTAAACGGGAGACCATGCCTATGGTGAATGTAGGAGCAGCGATCCGATGCAAGGAAGACTGCACCTTAAGGCTATAAGGGAGGCATAGACATGGGCAGGGTCATGGACACCGCTATGAGCTGCTCAAATGTCAGGAAGGTGCATGGTCGAGCTTTGCGAAGTCGGCTCTGGGACCAGCAGAGGCACCAGCCGAACTGCGCATGAATTTTCTTGCTCCAGAAGTCTCGGGACAGTCCACCGACATGCCATGCTACCTGACCGTGGGGCACAAGTGCTAAGCATTCTAGCCATAGAAGTGTGATTGGAGCACAGGCCCCGATTCGAGTCGAGCACTGCGGACGAAGCCAATCCTGATTCGAGCACTTGCGAGTCAAGCGCATGGCCAGTTTTAGCACTCGCGAGTAGAGCACGGGCGATTCAGCACCAAGATGCGATAAGACCAGGCCCACTCAGCACCAGCATCTCCAAGCCCCGCCCTCTCCTACCTTTTCTCGCCCACTTTCAGAGTTTAGGTGTTTTGCGGCCGCCTTCGCTCGAGTCCCAGCCATGGCCCAGCTCTTGCCTCGGGCTCTTGGAGCCTCAGGGCATGCGGGGCCTTTGGGGCACAGCACCCTGGCAGCTCGTCCTGTGAATCTCGAGGTGCAGTGTTTCAAGCAAGCGATGCCTCACCCTGCGGTATGGGCTGGTGCTACTTGCCTCCTCCGAAGCGCTCACAGCCGTCACTGGCGCTGCAAGTTGGCCTCAAAGGGCGCAGATCGTGAAGGAGTTCGAGACGATGTGAATCTTGAAAAATTGTTGGCCGCCTTGCAGGGCTCCTGGGAAGATGATGTTGGGCTCAGCATCTCCGTTACAGGCACAGATGTGAATTTTGGAGATGGTTCTGGTCCTTGGGAGGTAAAGGCCAAGGGCTCATGCCTTTATCTCCGAGGTACTCGCTTTATTGGCAGTGCTGAAGCCCCTGCCTGGGAGTTTCCGAACGGAGTGCAGCGAACATGGTCACGCCCAGAGCCGTTGAGTGCCGAGCAGGAGAACTGGCGTGAGCTGTTCTTGGAATATAAGGCTGGGCGCTTGCAACTTCGACGCCAGCTCTGGGCGAGTCTTGTCGTGGAGGATTCGTCGATTGCGGAGCTGCAGGAGCTGTGGGACTCGGGTAATGCTGCTACACTGATTTCATGGTTCATTTGATCTAGGACTCGCCGAAGATCGGGATCTCCTTACAGTGTCTTTTGTATTTAGCTGAAATTTAGCTGTCCTATACTAGAGGGCTCCCTCATGCTTCCGCAAGTAAGCTCTACTTTTATCCTCAGGTGCCTGGGGATGGCGCGGACTACAGCCTTGAGCAGCAAGCTCGGCTGTCTGCTGGACGCTTCATCGCTTCCGGTCGTGGATTTTGAAAAGTTGTGATTCTTGGATGTCTGTGAAGACATGGGAATGTAGGCTAATGTAGGCAAGTTCAGAAGATCTGGTACTCTTACGTTTGCCACTAAGGTTCCGGGTACCCGCAGCTCAGCTGCACACAGTCCGGAGTCCGGAATGGTTTGGTTGCTGCTTAATGCGTTGTGTAGGGAATCACGAGTTCCGTGAACGCATGACGAAGAAAGAGAAGCAAGCCATCTCAGCCGAACAGAGCGTAGGCGGTTTCAAGACAGCCAGAGCCAGAGGCTTCGTCCACCGACGCTACGGATATCGAGCCGTTGTCGTCTGCTGTGAGCCGTGGTGCAATGCCGGGAAGGCCTGGAAGCGCATGATGGGTGCTGGCCTTACTTGTGCCGAAACATGTTGGACCCGCCTTGGACACGTACCATTAATTACAAGGGTTCAGTTGTACCATTATGAATTACCAAAGGACCTAATTTTTAATGGATTATACGGTAGATTTCGTGACCATTGATCTTGGTGAAGAAGCCAAGTGCTCATATTGATAAAGAACAAACGATAGAAAGATTATTGTCCTTTGTTAATAGTTGTTGAATAAGAATGAAAATAAGCAAAACAATGCAATGGAAATGAAATAAGAGAACACAGTGTTTATTTCTATTTATTTTGACGGCACATGCCATGGCTGGAGTTCTGATCGCCGAAGGTCCGACTTGGGCACGAGTGCTGAAGTTTGCAAGGATTGGTACTCGTACGTAGTGGGTCTGTCAGCCTGACTCATGAACCCTTGCCGGCAAAGGTGTTTCAAGCCTGCCCAGGGGCGAGCTGCAGCCCTTCTATCACTGCAGCTTGGCTGATGTTCCATGATGTTGCCTGGACGGTTGCTGAACGAGCAGGACAAGTAGTAGAGCCTTCCTCCATTGGTCCATGGCACTGCCACGGTCAGGCAAAAGTGTAGAGCTGGTGTGTCCCGTGGACACACCAGCTCGGGCGAACCACCCTAGTAGTGAACCTGTTGCAATGAGATACCTTTGCTGCACAGAGTCGACGCGAAGGAGCCATTAGTCCTCCGCTGTGGCTTGCAGCCGGGACAGCTAATGAATCATGAACCCTGCATTCACTTTCGTGCAGGCTTGGTGGACGAGCGGGTGTCTTGGAAGCAACGAGAGCTGTTAAGTTCTCGGCTTGGAAGCTTGCAAGGGCTCTGAAACCACCGGGGTGCGCTTGTCAAGTTGGCGAGCAGAAAGTAGAGGTTTAGGAGCACTGCCCTGCCGCTACAGCTGGATCGCAAGCCCCACGGAGGACCGACCGGGCGCGCAGATGACTTTCGTGGGCGAGGAGACAGGGCGCCACGCAATCTGTTGCATATTGACATTCAGCCCTCGTTGGCAGACTGATGAGAAAGCAGGGTCTAGCATGGTGAGTCCTCTCCATTGCTGCAAGGAGAACGTGACACCGGCGACGGAGGAGTTCGAGATCCAGCATCCCCTCGTAAAGACGTTGCTCATAAGGCGGGAATCGAACAGCGCTGACGACCATGTTGAGGTTTGGTGTGGTTTGGGGTTCTACTGTGCTGGAGTGGTTCTGCTGACAATTTGCAAGGTGTGATGAGTTGAGTTCGTATTTGCCTTCACCCCAACTGGAGCAAGCTCTCAAGAAGCAGCGCCAAGGGCAGGCCTTTCAATGGAGTCTCGGCATGCATACTCTGTGATGGATAGCAATTGAGTCATGTTGAGTCTGCTGTCGACTGCACCGTGTAGAAGCTTGCCAGGACCTTCTGATCGACTCCGGGGTCACCTCACGTCGAAAGTGGCGGAGCTGAAAGATGAAGTCAGCAATCTCTCAATTGGCATTTAGATGCCGATACTTGGTCAGACAGGCAACATCTAGATCCAGCAGCCCCGAAAGTGATGCGACTACACCGACGGCCTTGAAGCTGAACCAGCCAGAATCGGTGCCAGAGTGTTGCCGAGGGTGCCGTTCGACAGTGCCTCAAGCTCACTGGGAGTTTGAAGATGAGCTCGGCCTCGCAGATGACAGTGACGTAGCAAAAGGACCTTACCCGCTTCGTGCGGTGCTCTTGCGATTTGCAGCAGACCTTTGTGCAGAGCCGTTCCGAAGAGTTTCAGACCACGGCTTGGTTGTTTCGGGAAGCGGGTCTGCTGCTGTCAGGTGTGGTCCTCAGCTGGATTGCAAAGGGCAGTTGAGTTTCCTGTCCATCCCAGAACCTGTCTCAATGATCACATGGCCCCTCATTGGGATACAAGCGAACAGACATGTGTGCAGATGCCGGCCTTTACACATATGCATAGACATATACATGTATACCGGTGTATATCTATACATATATATATATAGTACATGTATTATATGAGTTACCTACCTCCCTACCTACCTGCCTGCCGACCTACCTACATACCTACATTTGCTGTCCCTCTCTATGTGGATATCTATATGTATGTTTAGCATGCCCCTTGACACACATGTGACAGTGTGTGTGTGTGTGAGCGCGCATCTGTGTACCAATCGAAATCATTGCGATGTGATATGGTTTACTGTTCGACGGTGTATCGGCTTTGCATGTCATAGTACCGTATTGCACACTGAAGCAAAGTTTAAAGTACATTACTAGAGAGGCCGGCCTATATATTGGTGCTAAAATGTAAACACCCTATAATATTTTTCAATATCCCCCCATAACACATCAGATTCGCCCAGCAATGCTCCTAGATCAGCTCCGAGCAGGCACGGAGCCCAACCACTTCGACGGCGGCCGAGGCAGAGAACAAAAAAGATACCCATATATATATATACACACACATACATATATATATATATAGAGATAGATAGATAGATAGATAGATAGACAGACGTATAGATAGATAGATAGATAGATAGATAGATGGATAGATAGATAGATAGATAGATGTGTGTGTATATATATATATGTATATGTATATATATATATATAAGGGGCTGAATAGTTAGTAAAGTTACTACCTACTACCGGTCCCCTTTCAATTGTACTAGAACATGCCCCCAAAACCCTATTCCAGGGCTTCTAAAGGCAAGCTCCCTGAACTCGAAAGCTCCTACGAAGGGTTTCGCGCAGTTCTGAGTATCTCAGGATACGTACGTGTAAAGAATGTGTCTTTAGAGTTTAGGGCTAGGTATCAGTCAAGTTCTCAAAAAAGCGTTTGCTGTTTCCTGCTCCGCTCATCATCCTCCTTGCTGGTTTTGTTGGTCTTCTTTATGCGACAGTCTTGCACATCTCTTTCATGGGACAGCTTGTCTCGCGAATGCCATTCAAGCGCCCCGGCTCAGGGCGGCCTCAACCGGCCCGCTTTGCCTGGTCAGGCTCGCGCCTGCGATGACGTAATGTAACAATCACAGTGCTTGCGGCACAGATGGTCATGGCAACGGCAATCAGAGCAGCTATGATGTACTGCATCGCACTGCGGTTCACGAGTCCTGCGAATACAAGCGGCTACTGATGATATCACAAGTGCTGCTGCTTCTGCTGCTGCCGTTTTTATTGGTTCCTTTTTTGCCCGAGTCGCTAACCGCCTTTGCCTGGTTTCCTGAGGCTCGCGATGCTTTGCGGGATGCCAGGTTCAAGGTTCGGCATGCTCACTGTGTGTCTGCAGCCAGAACTATACCCTCTCGTGCACCAGCCTTGATTCCTCAGACTCTGAAATTTGGAGGACTTGGGAATTCCTTCGCTGACAAACACTGCCTGATCCTCAGTGGAGCAACTGCGCATGTGCGGTACTTGGAGCCTTTGAGATACACGGCTTTAAATTTCGGCATACAGGGAGGATTACAATTGGGCTTGTGCTTGGCTGATGGAGGCTCGTTTGAAGGCTTTGCTTCGGTGATGACTGCAGATCGCGAACAGCAGGCTTCCAAGGCGGGTGTGGGAAAAGTCGTCTCCTGTAACTCTGGTGCAATAAGTGCATTACAAGAGGGTGCCGAATCACCGTCTCCTCCCAAGGTAGGCGGGATTCCCTTCAGTGCCGCCGCTTGGCTGCAGAAGAGTTTAAGTTACAGCGGGTCTCGCAGATAGAGAATCCTGGGGATGAGCCTTGCACGTTGCAGAGACTCCGCCGATGCTGGCTCAGGTGCTGCGGATATCGGAGGTAGAGGTTTCGGATCTAACAACCTTCCTGTCCAGGCGTATGCTAAGTCACATCTACTCCCAATTGTGGCAGAAATTCTATGGACTTCATTGAACCAGGCGAACGCTGGCTCCAGGGCTCTGAGCCGGAACTACGAAGCAGACACGTTTGGCATTCCCGAAGTCAATGGCGGATGAGACAGGAGGCTTCCCTGACAACGAGCACAGAGCCAGCGGCTAGGCCATCCTGAAGCCGCTGTCGGAGACAGACGAGAGACCGACCGCCAAGCAGACGTGTCTTCTGGCTCGCGATTTTGCGATCACCATATGCAGACCGGATGAAGGGCAGGCGGTCAGCTCGGTCTTGGCTGGGATGCTCGCCGACCGCTCATGAGGAACGACCCTATCCGCAAGCCACAAGACGACAGCGCGGGCACTGAAGCACATGCTGGCAGACTGGCTCTTACTGAGTTGAAACGCCGGGCTGTGCTTGCCGCATCCTCGTGTGGCAGACATTGCAGTGGTTAGCATCGAGGATTTTCCTGTTGACCCCTGCGTGGCTTTTCGTCCCCCGGCCGGAGGCTTTGTGCTCTGCTCCAGGAGCTTCTCAGTATCGGGCGGTAGAAGTCGTAGGTGCCGATGCCCGACGAGGTGTCTCCTGCAAAGTGGAAATGCACTGTCAGCATCTGATGGTTTTCCACTCTGCATGCAACACCGCGTAGGGCATCGACATGGGCGTCTGCGCCAGTACGCCGAAAGCCGGAACAGGAGGGTGCCAGCATGCAAGAATCAGATAATCAGCTGTGTAAGCTGGTGAAAGAGTGAAAGATCAGTTTGGTGGAGAGAAATTCGATGAGTACCTCCAGGGTCACAGCAAACTCAACAAGATCTGCAGTCTCGACGAGGACGTTCACCCAGTCTGACTGGTTTGAGGGCTGGTCTGCACGAGGATGCCATTCGTGAGCAAATCGATCTGTGGTCGGTCATGACCTGCCTAGAGTTTAGAGGCGAAGCCGGGCGAGTAGACCAGCGCTGCTCTGGTCTCCAAGTCCGGATGCTAGGGGTGGGCGAGGGGGCATGTGTGTTGCCGCCGAAGCGGCAAGGAGCACACCGCCGCTTGCAGAGCAGAGGATGGTGCAGCACAGCTTGCCTTCTATTCGTGATCACAGCCGGCAGGCTCCGGGAAAAAGGCGCAGGAATGTGCATTCCTGCATCTGACCGCATAAAGGGTGGCCGGGTGGCCATCGGCCCATGGCACAGTTACCGATCTCAGGCCACGGTGCCCAAGCCGCCCGTGGGCTGGGTCGGCTCGAAGAAGACGCCCCTTGCGCAGGTGGGCCGTCGGGCAGTTAGCAGGGTTAACTCGGACCTGTGAGCAGAGAATCCTGAGCGCAAACGAGACTCTACAACGGAGATGCATTGTCCTTGCCTTCTGTTTCCCGCGGCTGTCAAGCAACTCCTTGCAGTGGCTGATGGTTCCCACGAGCAGGTGTGTTTGCAGACATGCCTGGCCCAGGAACATGAAAGTGCGGAGTATTCGTTGGTGTGCGCGAAATTGAATGCTCATGCATCCCTCTTCCGATATGTCGCACTCTTTGCTGGATCCTTCTCACGCTTGATGCATGCACACATATGAGTAGGCCAAGAAGTGCTTCAACAGGTCTCTTGGGATCTGAGCGAACGTTCGGCTGCATGATGAGCCTGGAGCGTTACAGGTCCGAGGTTACATCGGTGCCGACACAAAGGCGAAAGGCTGAGAGTCGTTCTGTTGTAACAGTGGTAAAGGCCATGAAAAGTGTAACTGTAAGTCGTGTCTAGCAGCTAGCAGACTTCAGTTCGTAATCTGGCAAGAGAGATAGTCACGGCATGTCACAGCAACAGAAACCGCACTTGGCAATGGTTGTGCTGGTTCCACATTCTGCGATTGAAGCATTGATCATGACAGCTGTATCGGTGAAATCGCATGATGGATGATTAAGTAAAAGGTCAGAGCTGCGTTTTAGCATCTGGGAAGACACTGCATGTGATCTCTGAGATTCACCCGTGCGTTTGCCGTTGTGTCGAAAAGTAATGTGGAGCTTCAGTACAGTCAGGTGGTGGATTTCGAAACACGCTTGAATCAATGAGGTGAGCCAGACTCTTGATGGCTTGCGGCTTGCGGCGAAACGTTCACTGCATGATGAGTCTTCGGCGTTACAGGTCCGAGTACAAGATGCGGACCCTTAGGCGAAAGGCTGAGAGCACCTCCTGGAGCCTCCGGTCCAGGTGTCGAGTTGACACGAAACACTATGCGCAGGATGATCTTTTAGTAAAAGGTCGGAGGTGCACATATGCACTCCTTGATGACAACTACGCATCTGAAATCTGGATGCTTGGTTTGTTGGCGGTGCTGTGTTTTGGCTTGTTTGGGGTGCTCAGGTGCCCGGAGACCCCGAGCATGGAGCGTGTGTGGGTGTAGAGTCAGTGTAGAGTATGGAACTTGCTGCGCAGATTCCGATGGACCGTGTGTTGAATGACTGCGTGCACCGCCGTGTGTTGCCGTACGCATCACCTAAAGGGACCTTCCCATTGTGCACACGAAGCACATTTGCTTTCCTGACGGTGCACAATGCACCGCAGGCACGATAGGCTGAGGTGGAAGTCAGGAGCAGTTTTCTGGCATTCCAGATTCCAGATTGGTATCTGTGCCTACAAATTTGGGAGTTAACTGCAAAGTCTCGGAAATACCTACTCGCTACTTTCCTCCACTGCCGTGATTTCTTTTCTTGAGCTGAGATGTAAGGCAGAACTGCCTTGCTGAGCATGTGACACGAAATGGAACGGGAGAATTTCAAGACAAGGCAGCCGCCTTAAACCGGTAGGGGAGACGACAGTCAACCTCCAGAGCAAGCAAGACATTACATTGAAGCAGCTTCAGGGAGTCTAGGGGCGGTCGCATCTGTCCAATGCAGCAGCGGCTTCTGGACATCCTCACAGAGGCCGAACATTTCTCGGGCTTTTGGGAACCATGAGAATGAGAAGGTCAATCCAGGACCACATTGTTGCTAGTGCCGAGGTGGGACGGCTTCTTCATGGGGTTCATGAGTTCAGGAAGATATTTCCGATGAAATCGTGCTACTGACATGTCGCATGTACTGATAACAAGTAAGATGCAGGGATATGCAGATTGACGACGAGCGACAACAGGAATCATCTACATACACACGAGCAGAGACATGCGCATGTTGTTTTGTGCAGCTTTTATACATCCACACACATAACTGCATATTTTATGTACACGCACATAGCAGGCAGTTTTTCTCGGACGCTAACATGCTGACATGTACGAACATGGAACGTCAGTGTTTCTGGAAAAACATATACATGCACACACATAATATGCCCACAGTACCTGCCTCCTACCTGCCTAATTACCTACCAAATTTGCTGCCCTGCCTGCCTGCCTGCCTACCTACCTCCCGCCCTACCTACCTACCTACCTACCTACATGCATTCATACCTTCATGCCTACATGCCTACCTGCCTACATGCCTACATACATAGAGAACACATAGGCGCATACGTGCACGCTTTTTGATGGCACCTAGCAAACCTGCGAAAGGTGCAAAGCCATGGACCTGGCTCGGCGCAGGGGGTGGCCGGCGATGCTCGGGAGGTTAGGGTTTGGAGATTTCGGGTGCACGGGTGCGGATTCCTCTTGGCCATCGCACAAAGAGGTTGCCAGAGATCTGCAGAAGTCTTGCACCTTTGAATCGCTGCCGCCCAGCAAGCAAGCACGGTGCGTGCCCTTCTTCGAAGGACTTGACGACGCGCAAGCCTCGAGATCTTCCGGCAGGCAAGGTCGATAAAATCTGGCCTTAAGACTGCGAAATGAGCCGAGGAAACTGCAGCACACTGCAAGGGTGCAAGCCGTAAAATGCCGTAAGTCTGCGAGGCTGTAGCCCTTCATCTGCTTTCATTTCCGCAGCGGCATGAGAACGTGGCTGGAGAACTTTTGAAACTGCAGCCGCGTGAGGCGAGCCTGTCGATGAACGGACAGAGCGAAGCTCCCTGGGCAGAGCCCTCCGGCTGATGCCCAAGATGAGCAAAATCTACACCGCAAGTCTCCGAGGCAGTGTGGTTATTCAGTCGAAGACCTTGCAAGGGTTGCCGGACGCCCTTGCTAAAGCATCGATGAAGTTCCCAAAAGTAAAGTCGAGGCAGTCCCTGGGCTGTAACCTCCGAACACACCTTGTTGGGCTGCCCGTGGTTCCAGTGAGGCTTGGCCGGGAGCACGCGAAGGCTCAGGAGTACCAGAGGTGCGCTCTTCGTGGCTTTCAGTGTTTTAGGGTTTAGGGTTAGTGCTTTCTTTAGCCTTGACATGCCCCAGCTCTCCACTGACTTGAGGCTGGTCGAGAAGCTTTGCCCGATCCTGAGGGGATCTGGTGCCATTGCTGGCCTTGCGGGCTGCCGAAGACCGCGGGCACGAGTGTTGCAATAGATCGGGAGGCTGAACCTTGGTTGTTGAAGTGACCGCAGCAATGAGTTCTGTGCTAGGGTACCCGGTTTTCTGAGCCTCCCAGATCGCAACAAGCAGGAGTCCCAAAGAGTGAAGCCATCGTTAGCCATACTTCGCCGAGGAGTTCAACAGAAACGGAGGGGTTTTGAAGGAGATTTGTTCCCGAACTCCCGAACCCCCATCCAAAAATCCCAAGTGGAAAGGACGAGTAAACTTACCTTCAAGATATATGCAGGCACATGTCCACAAAAAGCGGTTCCTACACCGAACCGACTGAACCTCGAATGTCTTGGATCCGAGTCTCAGAAAATGAGGGATTAGCGACCAGTCAGCAGATTCCTCCGCGTAAGTAATGACCCCGAGAATACGACCCCCCCCCGTTTCAGCAACCTTATCACCCGAGCTTCTTGGCCTTGGCCCAGGCGCACCCCCCGCGCAGCCTGCAGGGCCAAGGCGCCCACGCCGGGCCCCCAGATCACGTTATAGGGGTTTCGGGTTTGGGTTTAGGATCTTGGTTGTAATGCTTGTGCTCGTGCCGCTACTCGTGCTAGCAGTACCAGCTTGCAGACTCAGCATTGTCTGTTGTTTTCTGCAATTTATGTAGCTGCTGCTTCTACTACTCCAGCTGCTGCTGTCACCGATGATCCTGCTGCCATCGCGATTGTTGTCATTCAGTGGGTTCTTGGTAGAATTGCTTCCGTTACACCTACCTCTGAATGAAAGGTGGAGCAGCAGGTGCTGGGGGTGCTTCAAGTCTCGGGACTTTCGGGGATCCGACCTTTGGACACTTTGGAGTTGGGAGATGATAACAGGAGATTCGTATATAAGATCAGAACTGGACAAGTCATTGTGCATGGTCAGGTGGTGGAGCTTCGAGCCGCAAGAACGCGGCCCGGGTCTTGCCGACCGGGTCATCCTGTGGTAGAGATGGACGAAACAGGCTATACAGGAGCATGGAGCATGTTGGAAACCGTTGCAATGACCGGCATGTTGTAGACACTGTTGAGTCAGCACATCCGGTTGCGTCCAGCTCGGCCCCATCTCACGCTAAGAGACTCTGTGAGGTGAAGAACGCTCCAGCCGCCCCGAGAAGGCTCCTTCGTCGCTTTGGGCTTCGGGGCTGAGGGGGTTTCTCGGAAAGTCGTCGCCGTCACAAGATTCTTGTCCGGCCCAGACAGGCAAAGCGATTCAAGTAGTAAGGCTTGACTAGGGTGTTTTGGATGTTTGTCCAACAGGGTGCTATGCTTGCAAGGCCGGCGACCGGCTTCGACGGCGACGGGAACGAGGCTACCAGGTCTCCATCGCCGCCACTGGTTGTGCACAGGCCTTCGGCGAATGCCCGCGGGTGCAGTTTTTTGGGAAGGAAAGGCATGCCGCTGCACTCATGAATGCCTGGGACTGAGCGAGGCACTATCACCACCACTACCACCACCACTACGCACCTTGAATGTGCAATTTATGTTCCGGGCCGTGAGAGAGGAGTTGGGAAGGGAGTTCAAAGATGGTGGTGCATGGATGGGTGCGGGGTCAACGCTTTGATATCTCGAAGCTTGAACCAGGCAACATGGCGACAAGAGTAGCATGTAGGAGCCCACAAATTGGACAATTGCAGCAATTTGGCAATGTGAATAGCTTCATCAGCAGTTATTGCAGAATTTCAGCTATAGCATCACGACTAGACATGGCCATCACATACAATGCCAAGTATCGCACATTTCATGCACCATACTTCACGCATCATAAATCAGACCATATATCACATCGCATGTCATAGCATATCTCGTAACAAAGATCATATTACATATCTCGTCTGATACCATGCCTTGTCAGATTATGTACCAAACCACACATCATATATTAAATGTCATAGGTCACGGTCATACGTATGTGCATTGTGTGTGTATATGCTTGTGCATATGCATTAATGCACTGTACATAATATGTATGCATGTACCATCATGTACCTATCTATCTATGTATGCATGTATGCGTGTATGTATGTATGTGTATATACATATATGTATGTATGCATGTATGTATGTACGTACGTATGTATGTATGTATGTATGTACGTAGGCATGTATGTATGTATGTTGTATGTATGTACGTAATGTTATGTAATGTAATGTTATGTAATGTAATGTTATGTAGTGTTATGCAATGTTATGTCATGTTATGTAATGCTATGTAATGTTATGTAATGTTATGTAATGTTATGTAATGGTATGTAATGGTATGTAATGTAATGTAATGCAATGTTATGTAATGTTATGTAATGTTGTGTAATGTTATGTGATGTAATGTATGTCATGTATGTAATGTATGTCCTGTATGTCTGGATGTATGTCTGTATGCCTGCCTGCATGTATGTACATACGTATGTCTGTCTGTCTGTCTGTCTGTCTGTCTGTCTGTCTGTATGTATGTATGTATGTATGTATGTATGTATGTACGTGTGTGTGTGTGTGTGTTTGTCTGTCTGTATGTATGCATGTATCTATGTATCTATGTATGTAATGTATGTAATGTATGTAATGTATGTAATGTATGTAATATATGTATATGTATGTGTGTATTTGTGTATGTGTGTATGTGTGTATGTATGTATCTTGTAACACATGGCATAGGCTATCATGTGCACCATATTATATATCATTGTTGAGGATAGGGTATCTGCTGTTATCATCGTCACCGTTATCATGATGTTCTGAGGTTCTCGAAGACGGCAGCCGTCCGGGTACCGAAGAGCGCTCTCACGCTCGCGAGGCCCGGAGGTTGGCTTGCAGACTTCCACGGGGCAGGGTGTAGGACTTAGGTGCGACAAGTGCAATAGGCACCCCAACTGCGCTTAGGCTGCTCACAACCAGCCCTAAACCCTTAGCTCCTAAATCCGAAATCCTAAACTCCTAAGCCCCAGACCCTAGAATTAGGATTTCTGCGTAGGGCTTTCCGTGGACTGTGGAGTCGGCACAGGAGTTCGGCTCCATGGGTGTCGGGACTTTGGGGCATATTGAGGCATTCGGGGGCGCTTTAGATGTGCTCTGTGAGGGGATCCAGGTGTATGCTTGCTCGCTTATGGCATCTAGGGGGACAAGTGAAAATGGGCCGACCTCCACCTCTTTTCGGCTGACACTTCTTCAAAGCCTTTCTTGTCAAGTTTGGTGTGATGCATGGTTTGTGCCAATCTCTCTTTGAGTGAGAGGCGTTTTTTTTTTGACTCGTTTCTTGGATCAGGGGAAGGCCAGTTGAAGTCTCGGCGCATGTTGTCTGCCGATATCAGCTGCCATGCACTTGCAGGACACTGGCTGGACAAGCAACGTGGCACTCTTAGCCACGGGCAGCAGGGCTATAGAAGTCTGAAGTTAGTTACAGCCAGTCACCAATGGCAACAGCAGCATGCAACGGGTGCACAGGTGCCATTTGACAGCACTTGACCGGATCCTTGCCATCGCTGAATACAGTACCCTTCCCCAAGGCCCATGCTCCGGAAGCAGGGGCAAAAGATGAGGATGCCAAGTCCCGCACCCAGGGAGGGGGCCAGCCTGGCCAGCAAAGAGGGTGCAGGGTCCAGGAATGCAAAATGCGTCATTTCCCTTGCATCAAATGGTGCCCAACATGACCCACGAATCCGAGAGCTGCTGAAAACAGCCGCAAAGGTCAGCTGAAATGCAGCATTTTCACCGCAGGAGCCCCAGGATAAAGCCGAGCCCAGAGTTGTAGCGAACATGAACTCTTCAACAGTGCCAGTGCGAGCAAGGTTCCTTAAAGGACAAGGCTTTCCATAATAGAGTAGTAGAGGTCGGAATAGTTGGTTACTAGCAGTATATTCCCTGTAGTTCCCTGTGTAAGTATAGTGGACTGTGTGGGGCCGGGGTGCCTCTGCTTGAAACGTCTGGGCACGCTCAGGCCACACTCACGTTGCTGAGGCAGGGGGAACCGGTGGTGTCAGGGTTCCGGGTGCTAAGTCTGAGAGTGCAAGAATCAGAGGCACCACGCTGCTGTACTGAGAAAAGACTTCGCTGTCATCGCGACCCGTCACATCAGGAGATCACTGCTCGTGCTCGGAAGCTGCACGATGCAGCTTGCGAGGCGAGGGTGTCTTGACTTTGTTCGTCTGTTTCTGATAGGAACGTGGCGGAAGAGGAATGCCATGGGCTTGTCTTTCACTTTGCTTGCTTAACTTGCTTGTAGTGCCGAAGCATGGGCTATGTCACAGACCATGCCCCATTTGCCAGCAGTCTTCGGTTCATGTCAGCTCTTAGTTTGCGCTTAGAGAACTGTGCCTTCGTTTTGGTTTTTGAAGTTGACGGCCACCTCGCAGGCTCAGCTAGGCCATTCCCACCAACAAGGCAGGACTGCAGAATCAAATGAGAAATGGCAGGTGTATCTAACTGCTGCAGGAAGTGATACCTGATCACACTGGCGCACGAAGTCCTTCACCTGTTCTTGCCACCGTTGAAGCTTACTAGTTTGCTTGGATTGCCTGGTTCCCCACGGCCAGAGGAGTGTCTGAATCAGCTCTGTTGTGATGTGTCAGAGTGCTATCCTCTCCAGCAATTGCGACAGGGACGACGCATGGAAAGAGCCTCAGGTTTACCGATCGAATTGGGGCATGAGTTTGGAAGCCTGGCAAACAAGTAAGCTGCCATGAAGCGAGCAATCGGCACAAATTGGGAGCAGGATTCTCTGGCGGCAACGTAGTGGGGAACGAACCGTCGTGCATCAAGGCCTCTTTCAACTACTGCACGGGAATGGCCATTGACCGTCGGTTCTCAAAACAGACGTGTGTACGGGTAAAATCCTGAGCAGGGACTCTAGCACGGAGTCGACAAGCAGGCAACCGAAACCGCAGGAGGCGTCAGTGGAAATGCGAAGTCACAGGGGGAGCCGTGCTCGCGGGATCTATCTCGCTCGCACAATGGCAGTGGTGCTTGGCACGTCATCCGTGCTTTTGTCGCTTTGTGCTCTTGTCTTTTGTTGGTGTTGCTGGGTCGTTGTGTTGCTGGCGCTGGCTCTTTAGAAATTGCGCCGGAGGGGCCGCTCTTTTGTTAGGCCAGGCTCGTGCCTCGGTCGATGCTCACCTCACCTCACCCTATGTTTCCTGTCAGCATCTCACCAAACTTCTATTTTCGACAGGTGCCCGACATCCTGACGGCGAGAGTCCCGACCCAAGGCTTCCAAGGCTATGCTGAAACTTCGGCGGATTTGGGAGCCTTTGCCGCAAACGCGGCAGAGGGGGGCATGCCTGAGCAGCTTCGGTGCGAAAACCGGGTGTAAGACGTGCGCAGATTGGAAAACATTATTAGCCAATCATGAACAGTTATCCATCATGGTTCACAAAAGGTAACTTACATTCTACTAGTATGCAACACAAGATGGAGCACTTTCGGTCCAGCTGTTTTGGCATTGCCCCGGCCCGTGTGAAGGGGTGAAATTGCGCACCTTCTCGGGGCTGTCGAACAATCTAGGCTTGCAGACTTTGGGCAGCAAACCAGAGTCGTCGTGTTTTCATGCTTTCGGTTTCTTCTCGGTCAGCCCAAGCTCTGCAACTGTAGACGTTGCCTGCGTTGAGAGCCAAACGTGTCTGCGCTCCTTGTGCCAGCCTGCACTGTTCAGTTTTGGGCATCAGCCACATGCCTGGGTGTGAGCCAAGTAATAGTAACAGTAATTTTAATAGCAATAATAATTGTAATAATTATAATACTAATACTAATACTAATTCTAATGCTAATACTAATACTAATAATAAGAGCAAGAATAATTGCAGAGTAGACTCGAGCAAGCGACTTCGCCAGCGATTCGGGGACTTAAGGACTCCTGACTCCATGGGCCAGGCTCTGGACGGGGTCCCTCAAAACATCGCGGAGATCGTGGATGCCAGCCGAACCGGTCTTCAGGTGGGAGCTGACAGCATGAAATGAACCACGGCGCGTCATCATTCGGACCAATGCTATGAGTGCTACTAGCATTAAGACCGGAATGACATCGAAAGGATGGCAGATTCCAACACAAATTAACAATATAGGAAATACATAAGGAACAAGTAGGGCAGTAGGGGGAACAGAAGACACTAGTGCTTTACAACCGTTACCCATGGTTTTTCTTCTATTTTTCCATGTGTTCCTACGTTTTCCTGTGTTCCTTTCCTAGGAAATATGTTTCCTATTTTCTTCGTAAAAAGTTGGGGACAAATCGGATATCTCGGATATCTTCGATTTCCAGTGCATTCCCATCCCATTCTGTCGAGGTTGCACGGACCAAGCGGGCTGCTCCCAACGACTTCCGGCCAAATCGGATGATCAAGGCCTCTTCATGCAGCCGTGGTTTCAAGTTCTATGCCATGAGTAGCATTCTTCCTGCTTCTGCGCTACCTCTCCCGCTGCTTCCTGTGCCATGGCTACAACAACAAGAGGACCGCGACTGTTGCTGGTAACACGAGTGCTGCTACTGCTCCTCCTACTGCTCCGGTTGCTGTTGCTTCATCTACCATTGCTGCATCTATTCCTCTCGGTGACATCTCCAGTATCATCTCCACCACATTTTTTGGAAGTCATTGTCGCGCTAGCTAGCAAATTTCCACCTCTGGGCGCAGTGTTCAAGTTGCGAGCTGGCAGGGCAGCACCAGGACCTCTCGAGTGCTGCAACGAAGCTGTGCCGACCACGGGATGAGTCGAGTGAATTCATCGAGCTTCTTCGTGGTGTTGGAAGACACTGACTGTGCGGACTTAGCAAGGTGCCTGGAACACGACGCACAATCGAGATCAGGCCTTGTGCTCAAAAAAATTAGCTCAGAGACTCTTTCCAGTCGCATTTTGGGATGGACTGTCGAGTATTGCTGGGGAAGCATCAGGTCATGCAGGGTCGACAGTTCAGCGCCTTGGAGCAGCAGATGCTCGGCTGCACCCGTGCTCGCTGTGTCTCTGTGTCCATTCCAACCATGTTAGCATCCCTTCATGCATGCAGGAAGCACGAGTTCATGCGCAAGGTTGCAGCCGAGAGAATCCAGAGGCGGCTGCTGTTACCGTCGCCATGCCCGAGTTGGCCTACCTGTCTTTGGCACCGCATGAATGCGTGGCCTCGCGGGAGGACTTGGCGAGCTTGGTACAAGTACTGCCATCAGCTCAACCTCTGCTTGAGTTTGGTTTTGACTTTCGGAGTGCAACCTGCCCTGAGGCACATTGCTAGAAACCTGCCATGGCCAATTTGATTTGCTGACTTAGGCCAAGACAACTCGGATTGGCTCGTGACAACATGGATAGCAGCGACCATGATCCAGGCAGTGGGATTCCGTGCGTTGCACAGTGCACGGCCAAGCTGACAGAGCGCACCTCGCAGCTGCTTCAATGTCAGGCAAGGTGGCGCTGCTATCATGTGAAGCGCAAGAAGTTGGACAAGGCTTCTACAACCATCCAGAGGCCGTTGACTTCTTACCGTTCAATCGAGACTCCAGAACCGGATGTGCGGCAAGACATGTTAAAGTTGTGTTGTGGCATGGTCCCCTCGGCCTAAACTGCCCTGACAGAATCATCCGTGCCTTTCTGGTGCGTCGTTTGCTGTCAAAGCGGCGCAAAGCAGCGACTTGGCATCATGGTGGGTAGTCCCCAAGCAGCGAATGTTTCCAGACTGGAGAATCCACCTTTTGAGGATCTGCTGTTTGACTAAACAATTCGAGTGTGCATGTGTGAGTGCAGACACATGCCCTCGAACCAGCGCTTGCCATGCAAGAAGGATATGTGCACGGAAATGCACAAAATGATTATAATAGCCGCTGTCCTCCATGTTGTGATGCTCCGTGGCTTGCCAAGATCGTCATCCAGCGGCATGCCAGAGGAGTGATCACTCGCCAAGGGCTCGACTCGAAACTTTGATCTTTCACCATCCAGTCTTGCTCATCCTCAGGCCGTGTCACAACAGGCACCAACAATCGAAAAGACTCTGCGTCTCAGGTAATCGTCTTCGTGCGAAACATCGGGCTGCCGCGAGCGCCTCAGATCAGTCATGGTAATACAGATTTGCACCAAAAGTGGCGGCCTTGGCCTCAGATGTCGTTGCTTTTCAGGTCAAGGCCCAGTCGCTCATCCGGGGCTTCCTCGTGCATGTCCTGGATGTTTCTTGAATGTTCTTGAAGTGAGCCCACTCTTGCGTCCCATGGCACTCAGGGAAGAAGACGTGTGAAAAAGAAACGTCTAGGCATGGACCAGCTGGCATCACTGGCAAAGTTAACTAGAGTGCATAATCTTGCATGGTCCATGGTTGGCTTAATTAGCAAGCTTGCAGTAGTCAGCGCGGCTGCTTCCTGTGATGAGGGTGGTACCGGGAGCTGAGCTATCCTCCTTCGAATAATGCGTGCAATGTATGGCCAGGCTTTGACGATTCAGTGTGCCGTCCGCCCGCTCCCAAAACACGTTCCGTGAGAGCAAGCAGCAGAAGCATCTGGCCGACAAGAGGTCAACACTGACGCTTTTGAGATGCTGTAAACCCGATCGTGATGAGACTGCGTAACTGCGCTTTTCTGGAAGACTGCTTGGACTCGGCTGCGACCACCTGTCGCTTCGATTTGCATTTTGCTTTGTTTGCCAATGAGCAAGTTGCAAAGGTTGCCACCAAGCGCGACGGAGAGTGCAGGCACAGATGACAGCATCTTGTTTCTGAGTAAGTGCAGTGTGGGCGCCTGTGCTAACTTGTTACGATTCTTGCAATGCTGTTGCGGTTCACCTGGGTGTTGGATTAACCTGCTTCTTGATGTCAAAAGATGCATGTATCAAGAAGGTCACCAGCGTAACATCAGTGAATCTGACTTACTTAGCATCTGTCATGCCTTTCGTCTACGGCTTCGCCAAGAAGTTCTCAAACTAGAGACTGCCAGACCCCAAGCTCATTGATCGCCTTCCGATGTTCTTATAGTGCTATCACCCCTCTGTCCCAGGCACCCGAGTAGGTGCGCTAGAATGGATATCGGATACCACTATGTCTCATGGTCTGAACGTGAACCAAGCGCCTCCGCAACAAAAACAGCACTCGGCATTGCTGTGCAGGTTCGGCGGGATGCAGCCGCTGACGCAAAGGCCTGGCCGCGGGGCCTAAATGCGGAGGGCTTTCTTTCAGAGGTCACTCAGGACGGGAAGGCTGGAAGGCTTTTCAATGATTCGCTTGACCCAATGTAGACTGAAGAGGGCAGCTCTGTGGCAGAATACGTCTCGTGGTTGTTGAGGGTAGCCATTGTTCGCGAAGGCCGTCAGATGAAGGATGTTGCTCACCTTGGTTTCGGTGGTTGTGCTGTCACTCACACATGGTTGTTGCTACCAAAGCTCCATGCAGATGCATAGGCCTGCATGGTGCATTTCAGTCACAGCCGCCCTTTCGGTGTGGCAGGCCAGAGTGGCCGGAGCGGTCAACATCCAGCGGATTTACCGCGGCATCCAAGGCTCTCCTTAATTATATAGAATACTGTAGGTTTTTTGGGCCCATTTTACAGATTCATTATAAGGAAGCCCCAAAAATAATGTTGGTAGCTTTTCGATTCCTCCATAAAAAAACCATCTCCCGTACTCCGCCGTCTGCCTTCTGCCTATGCCAGGCAAGAGCCAAGCGCTGCAAAAGCTGGAAGAGCCGGGGTCCCAGAAAAAGGGACCATGAAGGGGCGAAGGGCGACTCTCATCACGGTTTAGGGAGTTTGGAGGCTTTTCGGGTTTAGGGGTTTAGGGGCTGAGGGCTTGGGGTGTAGATGAGTATCCTTCGGATTGGCAGGTACAACACAGCTATGGAGCAGCACAGAGCTGCAACAAAATTGCCGGCCTCTCGGGTATTTGCAAAGGTTCCTTTATGTTAGGCAGCTCACCATGGACACAGGCTGTAATTTGGAGACCGTGTCCTGCCACGCGCGCTGGCCGACTTGTAAACACCGCCTTCTCACGGTCACTAACTAGCACCTTGAGTGCGACGTCTCGTTGCGACACAACACGTTCCACAGATACTCTGCTGGACACCAGACAGGCTACTCTGCACAATCACTCACTTCCGCTATTTCATACGCTGCTAGACTTGCCAGGCTACAATATACAATGTTAGGATAACCTGCATACTTGAACAAGTACCAGCTTTCAACAGGCAGGCTATGGCGAGACGGGATGCCGCCATCAAAAGAGTCGGATCCTTGCACGTGTGAAGCCGACGCATTCGTTTTGATTCGGATGGTGATACGGGAACAGGGCTTTGTGTTCCTGTTTCCGTAGTTCGAAGACATGGGCAGGTTGACAGAGGAGTGGGCATATGAAGGAGTGGCTTTCAAATCAGTCATATTGCAGCACAGTTCCCTGTGACGACAGGCACAGTCAGAATCGGGAATGTCGACAATTTGACCCGACCAAGCATGGTTTGTAACTTTGTAGATCCTACTTCCAAGCCCCGTCACCTGTGTTGAGGTGGACAAGATCAGGTTGGACAAGTTCGAGGAGATGAACAAGGTGCATGACGCACAAGCTCCTCATGCTGGTAAATGTTGTAGTGAGCCCGTAAGCTGGCGTGGAGATGTTCTGGCGGTTTGGTCTCTTAGCAGGCTGCCACGACCATCCGCAAGCTGTGGAAGGGAAAGAAGACCCGGCGAAAGTGCAACCGCACAGTCATGATTCCCGACCAGAGACGAGCAGCTGTAACGCTCTTACGATGAAGCGAGACCTGCCTGCAGGTACCAACAACTCATGGAAGAGTTTGCAAGGCACCTTCCGGGTGATGAAGTCGCCGGGTTTACAAACCCGTAGGTGAAATGGTCGTACCAGGATCCTAGCAGCCCCAGGTTTGTAGTGAAATCATCCGAGACATTGCTCACGGTGAGGCACGTCGACAACGTCATCACCATCCAGCGATATGCTCGCGGATTTCTAGTGCGGCTCCGCATGTGGCGACAAGTCATGGACTTGGAGACTGCAACTCACATGGATGGCAGAGAACACAATTAGTTTGCATGAAGACGCTGGCCATACCCCTCGTGATTCTCATGTCAATGTGGCATCATAACTGCAGATGGGCTGAGGCAGTCCGTGCGGAAGAAGAGTTGTGGGCCTCCTTGGAGATTCAGCGTGTGTGGCGTGGGTGCCCCCTGCATGGTTCATCAGGCCTTTCTGAGCATCTCAACTTTGTTACCCGCCTTTTCGAGCTCCGTGTGCAGACTCCGGCATACTCCGGCGGTCAGCAGGTACCTGGGCCGCGTGAAGTGGGAAGCTAAATACGAGGAGGTGCCAGAGAGGGGAGTTTGCGAATTCCGTTGGCTAGCCTTGCATGCGGCCCCTGCCACTTCAGTTTGTTTAATCCTTTCACGTTGCTCCAGGTTTGGCAGAAGGAAATGGCTGCCGTGCGAAGCTGAGCCGAGCTTCTTTGGGTGAGTGATTCTGCATCATCAGCTTTTACCGGATGCATATGCAAATCGTTTGTATGTGATAGGTTGCGCAGCAGAACTCAACGTTCCGAAACGCCTTGTCAAGTGTAATCAAGTATACATGAGAACACTAGTGGGGCTGTCAGCCCACGGTGGCAGAGCGACAGGGTTGGCATGAACTAGGCCACTTCACCGACATGATTTGCTCAGATGCTGTGCATGTCTTCGATCGTTGCAGTTCCGCCAAGGCCATGATCGAGAGAAACATCCGTGGTTGGCTAGCCCGTGCCAAGGTGCCTGCAGACATGAGCTTGCAACCTGCGGTGTGGGTGGGAGTTGATGCGGATACTCACAGCAGCTTTCTTTTTAGGTGGGGCGCATTCGCCGCAGAATCGCGCGTGCCGAGCAGGATGCCTAGCTTGCATCAGCCCTTCCCGAAGACCGGCACCTGTGATTACCAGACTCCTGAACTTTTTGCCTTCATCCGCCGTGGCCCACAGCTCCAACAGCCAAGGTTCGAGCACGCTCGCAAGCGATTCCGAGCAGCGCAGCGGATCCAGGCCTCATGGGACAGTTCTGCTGGGATTTGCTTCCTTTTGGCCTCTGAGCGTGGCCTGGGAGAGGGAGGGGCGAAGGCCTTAGCCCGGCTTCTCGCCTGATCCAGGCCCTGGTGCGCGGAGTTCTCGTGCGGATACGATTTGTGCGGCGGTATGCCAGATGCAGGACTGCCGCTGCCCGCGAGCTTAGCTCCTGCAAAGCTTTGTCGGATTTCTGCCTGGGGTCGTGGCATACCCATGGCATTGGCTGGATCGCTCAGGTGCGCATCCAAAGAGTAGCCAGAGGCCATGCGCTAAGAAAGCGCTTGTGGCGGCAGGCGGCCTTGCACAGATTTCTCCCTCTGTTTACAAGTCTGGAAGTGCCCACTTTAATTGCAATGCGCAGGTGAAAGCACAGAAGGCCACCTACATTGAGGCTCGTTTGAGTTGCTCTTCCGGACTTCGACTGGGCTGGGTGTTTGGTGTTTGCAGGCTCATGCAAGAGGCTTCCTCGTCAAGCGACGCCGACTGCACCTGATGCTCAGCTTGACAAAGACTACAAGCATGACTTTTAACTTTAAACGCGTCGAAGAAGCAAATCGAGCAGTACATGTGCAATACTGTCGGTTCGTGTTGATGCAAAAATGTCCTTTTCAGTGCCAGTTGAACATGGAGAAATTCCCAAGGATCGCCAGGGTGATGCGCATCCAGCGCGTGTGGAGGTTCTCACTTCGTTGCAACAGTGGAGCATGATACATCTACCAGGCAAACCAATCATTCGGATAGGTGTGACAGAAGCTACTAAACTATGGCATCCGCAATGACCATGGATTTGCTTGGATCTACTGTGACCTCGCAGGAGATGGCTTGAGAAGTCACCAGAAGATCGTGATGCTGCCATGGCTTGGATCCTAGCTTTACACGGTATGAGCCCAAGCGTCCCATTGGACATTCTGCCAGCAGCGACGAACCCATGAGCACCAAAAGCATGGGCATCAGCCGCCACAACACCGGCAACAGCAGCAGCAGCAGCAACATCGACGGGCAGAGCAACAGCAAGAACAAGAACAGAAGCACCATCACCCACCACGACAGCAGCAGTGACTGCAAAGGCGAAGACGATCATGCAAACACCGCAGCCCCAACAGCAGCAAGAACAAGAGCCGCAGCAACATCAAACACAGCAACAACAACGAGGCAACGCCGCCAAACGCAGTACCATCAGCATCAGCAACACCCACAATAACACGAAGCAGCGGCTGCGACAACAAGAACGATAACGAGGTACTGCTGCTGCTGCTGCTGCTGCTGTCTTCAGTTCTGCTACTGCCACTGCTCTTGCAACAACCACCATCACTACTTCTGCCGCTGCTGCCTCCTACTACTACTACTACTACTACTACTGCTACTGCTACTACTACTACTGCTACTACTACTACTACTACTACTAGGGATTGGGTCCCTAATTGACGCCATGCCTTTCCTGCCTTGAAGGCAAAAAACGCGTGGATTTTGCAGGATTCTGGCCAAAGTCTGGAGGGTAGTTGTTGCTTTTCATTGGGGAGAGGGTGGGGGGCGGGGCTGATGACGTCCTTCAACATGACACGTCTCCGGAGCACGTCGGGCTCCAGCAGGCATGGGTCGTTTTTTCATGGGTGGCCGCAATGGCGGCAAACAGTGCCAGGATGTGCCAGGCCAAAGGCTCGCCTCGGCGGCTGCGAGCAAAACTCATCTGCAGCGAACAGTAGCCATCTTTGACATGCTGCTCCAGTTCGCCAGAGCGACCGTGGTCGAACTGAGTCGAATTCATGGATATAGAAACATCGATCACGAGATGGGGTTTGGAACTTGAACCATCTCCTGCAGGGAATCTTAAACCCGCAAGCCTCGACCCTAAAACGCCAACATCCCGGAATCCACGGCAGCCTAAACCCGAATCTGCGCCTGCAGTGGAGAAGGATGTCGCCGCTTCTCATGCCAGACCAGTGTAAATGCGGCAGCAGCATGCATCGGGGATGATGTGGGCACCGGCCCCACTTGGACGGCTTGGGCCCCGCAGGAGCGGCTTGCTTGGCAGTCTTGCGGCGCTTGGGAGCAGGAGCACGCCTGCACAACATCCGAGCTCAGAACTTCTTTTGCACTGAGAGCAGTGCAGGGACAGAGTGCCTGACTCCAAATTGAGTGGGCAGAAACAGCTTCACAGTTTTGTCTTCTGTTGCTGTTGATGATGATTCTTATTATGATTATGATGACGATGACGATGACGGTAGTGATGATGATGGCTACAGATGATGATGATGATGACGATGATAATGGTCATGAATATAATGATGATGATAATGTCACCTTTTGCCACACTATCTAAACTCTGGAATCCTTCAAAATCCTACCCTCCTCACGCCTGCCTCTGGTTTACTGAAATCACTGTAAAAACCAGGGAAAATACATCCGGACTAGCACCAAAACACAGCGTCAAATATGGCACGCGCCCCTACTACTACTACTGCTGCTGCTGCTGCTGCTGCTGCTGCTGCTGCTACTGCTACTACCCCTACTATTACTACTACTACTACCACCACTACTGCTGCTACTGCTGCTGCTGCTACTACTACTACTACTACTAGGGACCCAAGTAGCACTACTACTGCTGCTACTACTACTACTACTACCACTACTACGACGACCACTGCTACTGTTGCTACTCCTCCTCCTCCTACTATTACTACTACTTCTACTACTACTGCTACAACAACAACTACTACTACTACTACTACCAGTACTACTACTACTACTACTACTACCACTACTACTACTACTACTACTACTATTCCTACTTCTATTTCTACTCTTGCTGCTACTTCTCGTCCTGCTGCTACCACTAGTATACTACTGCTACTACTACTGCTGCTGCTATTGCTATGCCTATTCTTAACATTGCATCACCACTACCAAACCACCCCCTGCCCCTGCCCGCTGCCCTTACCTGCAAATGCTGCGGTTACTAGTTACTATCTAGTTACTAGTTCCACCACTCCGCCAGTACTACAACGACGACAGCTTTGTCGACAGCTGCTACAGCAGCAGCAGTTGTGCAAAAGAAGCACTATGCCCCCCTGCATCCGCTTCATCATCTTCGACATCATCGCCATCACCGTCGCCATTCTCGCCAGCATCACCATCACCATGATCAATCCTTCTTAGCAAAAAGCGATGGCATAACAAAACGATCGACAGCAATCGCGTCAACAACTGCGCTGCTGTCTCCAGGCCCTCATGAAGGAGCGCAAGGAGCAGGCCATCGTTGCATGAAGCATTGGGCGCAAGAGTAGCAGCCAACATTGCACTTTAAACAGGAGCCGGAATTTACCGACTGAAAAGAGGGGCGCTCGCGAGTGTAATAACTAATAACTTGTAAGTAGCGATACGGTCAGCAGAAACCTTGTCCATCTTGTTGTCAGGGAACCCCCCCGCTAAGGTTCCCAGCTCACCTCATCTTCGGTTGTGTCATTTTAGCGCAGCCATCTAAACCGTGTTGCCCGTGCCCGGCCTCGTCAGGCAGCCAAAATCCAGCAAGCCTTCCGGAAGCATGCTGAAAAGAAGGCCCGTGTTCATCATCTTAGCCTCGGAACGGGCTACACTGCCAAATCGCTGATCGGACTCGTGCTTCCGCAGCGCAGCCTGAAATCGATCTCCGTAATTCTTGCACACAATGCAGGAAGTTCAGCGGATTCACAAGGAGGATGCCGCGACAGCTGAGAAGCGAACTGCTAAGCGTGATTGTATCGAACCTGCAGTGAAGGTCGTAGTTTGAGTGTGTCAGTTGCAGCTTGAATGCAGCTGCCTAGGCCAAGTGGGCAAGAGGAAGCGG